TCATAATGCATGCAATCTTGTTGCTGAGTGAATCGAAGACTGCAAGCAATTGCTTGCTTAGATTGCTCACAATGTCCCCTTGTTCAACTCCAGATTAACCCAAACTACTAAATGCCATATAGACTAAACATAAGAAAAAATATAAGAATTTTGCTGTCAATGAAATATAAAAATATTTAACACTCAAAATTCATAGAACCAAATCATGACATATGGCCAGTAGAGAATTCTACGACCTGACTAAAAATAAGAAAAAATATAAGAATTTTGCTGTCAATGAAATACAAAAATATTTAACACTCAAAATTCATAGAACCAAACCACGACATATGGCCAGTAGAGAATTCTACGACCTGATATGTAGAATTCACTTCAATAGGACTACCAGCCGTGTTGTTAGGGCCAAAGTGCATGTCATTGAAACATTTTACACTCAAAAGTCAAGCAACGATAAAACCTCCTAAAAGTGTTCATGAGTGTACTTTACTGCGGTAAGCAGCCTATGATCACGTGACCATACCTGTTGATGAGTCTGGAACAGGACAATAATGGTTCAAGAATTCCAGTTGCTGCATATATTTGGGCTTCAAAAGCATTACTTGTCATCAAGCTGTACCTTGTCCTCAAGAAATAGTCACGTAAACATGCAAGAAAACAAACCTGTCTGCCTACGAAGGTATGCACCTATGTCCTCCCTTTCCAAAGCCCTAAAGTTGTTTTACTAGAACTTGCATTACTATTGACAACAAATCCATATCAGTCATCCATAACAAAGCATAATTTGATAACTGTAAAAAATCTTAAGCAAAGGACTTAAGTTGATCATTGAGATCATAGGGAAGATAATTAAAAACTTTTAAGGTTCACGACAAAAATGAAAAGCAGAGAAAAAGTTTTTTTGCAAAATAAGGTCCACCTGTAACAAGCTCCTCTGAAGGTAACTTCACAATTGCTTAGATTGCTGCCTTAAGCCTCCATAAGTTCCAACAGGTTGGCATTTCCTCCAGCATCTTAATGTACTACAATCAATAGAGAATATCTAAATTGACATCAAAATTTTAAAAACAAAAAAATTTAAGTAATTGGGAGTAAAGGAGTAGTATATCTTGAATGATGATGAGTGCAAGGATCAAAATTTCGTTTCGAAGTACCGTTTCGGTCAACTCAAAAATAGAAACGTTTCGGAAACATTTCGGAAACGCAATGGAAACGCAGAAAAAATATGGAAACGCATAGAAACACAAATGCAATCCATTAATTTATAAAGATATGCTAAATAATTTATTAATTCAACATATTTATTAGGTTAACATCAATTTATACAAGAATAAATTTAAATTTGAGGGAAAAAAAGGCTTGACTTGAGGCGAAAGTCACTTAAATTAGTTTCAAACACTTAATTTTTATGAAATAAACACATTTTTACATAATATTAAGGTCTTATAATACACATGAAATGCTAATGAGTACATACTTACATGGTTACATCCATTCCCCTGTGGAGTGTCGAGCAGACTCATACATCGGTGTAGGCTCTGGATAGCTACTTAGAGAAACTCCATATGTGACATAAATATGATGACAATAGTTACTCCAAATCATATTATTACGGTAATATAATCCAATTAATAATACTATTTTATTATAATACTAATAATGAAGGGTATCAAATTAAATTAATGATACTTATGTATACTTAAAAATTAAATGTAATTGTAATGGGTATTAAATGTAATTACAGTAGGTATTAAATATAATTACATTAGGGTATTAAATGTAATTGTTAATACTTATAACAAAAAAAAAAAAGCAAAAAACTTGCACAGCAGTGAGGTATTAAATATAATTACAGTATGTATTAAATATAATTATAATGGGTATTAAATATAATTATAGTAGGGTATTAAGTGTAATTATTTATTCTTATAACAAAAAAATTATAAAAGACAGAAGAGCAGTGGAAATTAAATGTAATTATAGTGGGATATTAAATATAATTATAGTGAGTATTAAATGTAATTACAGTGGGTATTAAATGTAATTATAATGGGTATTAAATATAATTATTCATAATGAACCGAATATATCACTGTTTTGTCGAAACGGTACTGTTTCGATCGAAACGGTTCGAAACAATGCCGTTTCAACCGAAACGGTCCGAAACAGTACCGTTTCGACCGAAACACTGAAATTTTGTGATTCAACTACTGTTTCGTTTCGGAGTGTTGAAATTCCGAAACGTTTCGGACGTTTCGGACGTGTCGACACGACATTTTGATCCTTGGATGAGTGGACAAACCCAAGCACAAAAATGCAAACAAAAACGACTCACAAAATAGACATTTCAGCTTAAAAAGTATTTAGTTACATTAAGTTCAACTTTGAGATCATTAACTAAGCCGATACACCAATTCAAAAGTTGACATTTTTGAAAAGAGCAATGCTATTGGGACCTAATTTGTCGACCTAATTCACTGTAACCTTTGGATTGACTTTAGGCCCCATCAAACATTGAAACTTGGTGTTGATCCAATGATTCCTATTAAGTTACATCATTATGTCAGCAAATTAAGTCAGATTTTTAAGTCCAAATAGCATTACTCTTTTGAAAAAGTTCAAAATTATGGTATTCATTCCATAATAAACCAGACACCTAATCAAGAACGTAGGCATTATGAACAATCTCTTTCTGTATGATGAGATGCTCCAAATGGATCAGTAAACACTCTCTTTCTGCATGATAAGACTGTTCCAAGTCCTTTAATTTATCTTGAATAATTTCACTGCTCAGTGTGTCATGGATGAGATTTGTACGGCCAAAATTAACATAACTACAAACTCTATCCAATGAAGATCATAATTGCTAGATGTAAACAATTCCATGCATAAATTTTAGGTTTTATCAGAAGTTGTACATTGAATTAGAATATTCTTTGACAGAGACATGGCTGAGATTAGTATGGCCAAAATCAACGTAACTACAAACTCTATACAATGAAGATCATAATTGCTAGATGTAAACAATTCCATGCATAATTGCAGGTTTTATCAAAAGTTGCACATTGAATTAGTATATTCTTTCACGTGTCTGTCTCTCGCACTATCTTATTTCAAGTTTTCGACTTCCTCTCTCTCTCTCCACCCCCTCCCTCCCAACAAAAAATAAATAAATTAATACAATTTGTTCGCACAACAAAAAATGTATCATAATTTTCATAGACATAGAAACATTGGTAGCATTAATTAAAATGTTTCCTGCAAATTACAAAATTAGTACCCAACCTAATAATTCATCCAATTTCAATACTCCAACTTTCTTCCTAATAAAAAAATATAGACAACATGCACACCAGGGACAACTAATAATTGACAACATCAAAGAGGCAAAGTAATTTTCCTCTCATGATCTAACTCGATATAATAGAGTCACTAGAATCCAATACAAAATATGAATAATTGAAATGTTAGTCTTAGGATTTGGATAGATCTTAAAGACAATGTCTAATATATTCTGTAACCACCAAAGAAAAAATATCGTTCAAATAACTTTTAACTTTTGATGACGGTCCATAATTTATAACCTTAATAGTAGAGGTGGCAAAAGGGGGTCGGGTGGGTTCATAACAACTTGGGTGCAGGGCGGGTCCAATTCATTTTTAACCCATCTTATAAATGGGCTACAACTTATAACAAATTGGATCATGGGTTTAGAAAATCATATTTTGTTTTTAGAGAGAAGCTTCAACCTCTCTCTAGAATTTTCAAATGCATGAGAATGACACAGCTAGCTTGAATCCACCAAAGCCACCTGATATGACCTTTTCTTCTCTATTTTCTCAAGCTCCTGTGCAGTCTATTCTTTCTACAATTGTTCCTCCGGTAATGATTTTGGTTTAAAAGCCAGTTTTCAATAATGGTGAGCCATCTCTTTATTGGACCAAGGAGGAGATTCAATCTACATGTCATCCAATTCAACACACTTTGATTGGCAAATGTTCTTATGGGAGGCCATCTTTGGGGGTAATTCGTGAGTACATAAACTCGAAGCGGGCGATTAAAGGAGAGTTTTATGTTACAAATATTGATCCTAGGCATATTGCCATTCGTTTTTCTTTATTTGAAGACTATGTCCGAGCATGGTTGAAGGACGCTATATTTATTGATGGCCCATCTGTTCAGGTTCTTTAAGTGGTCACCAGATTTTACTTCTGGCATTGAACCAGCAGTTGTTACAATGTGGATCTCTTTACAAGCGCAGCCTTTCAATCTGTTTACTAAGGAATGCCCTACTTCTATTTTGAGCCCAGTTGGTAAGATTCTTGCTATAGATGAGGCCACTTTGAATTTAACAAGGCTTGGTGCTGACTGTGCATGTGTAGAAATTAATTTATTAGCAGATAATCCTTAGAGGATTTGGCTGGATCAAGGGGGTTATATAAAGGGAGTTGGCAAAAAATTCAATATAAGAAAAGGTTAAGTATTGTAGGAATTGCTTTAAGCTAGGTCATGAAGCGGTAGAATGTCATAAAAAGGAGCTTTCTCCTTAGGATAATGGAGGGGTTATTGTAAGGGAGGATAAAAAGGAGGGGAAAGAGGTGATCCATATGATTGTACTGAAACCTGAGGCTGGACATAGGAAAACGTACTGCCAGAAAACAGTTTAAGGCGAGTCAAGTAAAGTCCAGAAAAGTAGTATATCAACAGATAAACAGGAGGTTATAACCATAATCATGGCGAAAAAGAGGGGTTGCAGATAAATCAAGAGAGTAGGGAATCTGATGACTTGCAGTTGAAGGAAAAATCGAGGGTATGTAACAACCTCACTCTGGTGGAGCCTAGGAGTATGGAAAAGATGTGATCTTCGGGTCAAAAGGCGAAGGCAGAGAAGAGCAGTAGAGAAAAGTTTGCAAATGGAGGATGAAACTCAAAAACTCATCAGGATAATTACTCTCTCCCAGATAATTGCAAAGTTGCATCTCCTTTGCCCGTTTGTAATTTGAATGAACAAAGTTTTTCTACAGTAATGTTTCAGGAGATTATGGGAAACACCCATAAAGCTTTGTGTTCTAATAAGGTCAAGGCGAGGGATGATTTGGTTCTTCATGAGCCAAAAGATGATCCTCGAAATTGGGGCTATTATTCGGATGGGGAATCTCTCCTCTCTCATGTCTTGGAAGGTTGGGAGGTATTCAATGAGCGTAGCAAGGAATTAAAGAAAAAGTTTGAGAGAGGAAAAAGATCAATAAGGGCTTCTCTGGTGCCTTCTTCAATAGTGTCACATCTGTTTCTTCTCATGTTCTAAGAAAAAAATTATGGGGCTGGCTCCAAACAGATACTAAGGTCATGAGCAAATCACAGCACTTCCCGTATATCATAAACCTCTTGGTCATATATGGAATCCAAACTGTCATTCTGCCAATTAGTATGCTCGCAAACTAAGTAGAAGTGCAAAAGTAAACTATGAATTTAACAATCTAACATGTCACAAATTTAAACCACCACTCTAAAACATGATCTAGTTTTCGAGTGATGTAAAGGAATCACTTGCAAAAAGAAAATCAGTAAGAAGTTTTCCCCTTGATATCGCGATGCAACACGTGGTGCGTGTCACAGTGTCCCAAGCCCCGACAATCTTTCCAATTTAGCTTCTCAACAGACTTAGTATTGTTAAATATCTAAAACAATAATTTTGTTGACAACAACCAATTTTCTCAAGAGCTTTTTTTTGGGTAAATAACCAAAATCAATTGTGGTCATTTTGAGTTGCAAATGTCTGGTGGTCATAAATTTCAAAAAACATCTACTACATTGGAGCATGCCAACACTAGCTTGATTCCTCAAAAAAGTGAATACCTTTTGGAATGCAACACATTGTCGAGATTATAAAAGAAAGAAATCCAAAGGCAGCTATTGGTGATACCTGAAGACCACCAAAACAATCCATACAGCTGAAACTTTAATGCAGCTATTGGTGATACCTGAAGACAATGACATGAGCTGGTTTGCGTCCATTGCTTGAATTATAGAAATCCAAAAGCAGTTCCCTGGAGCAAAAAAATTCAACAACAACTCTATACTATAAATTGTGTGTGCAATACCTTGTTATTGAAGTTCCATTGTCCATTACGTGGGAAGAAAATCTTCACTGTTACCAACCTTCAACTGCAGATTGAAAGAAAATTTGATTTTAAGAGCACACTCAATTCTTATCTTTTTGTTCAGTGTAGTCATATCTGTATTGTGAGGAAAACTGCTAAACCGCGTCAAGAAAGTCAACCTCTACCTTGGGGTGCCTCAAGGACCTGACCATCAACTTGGGTGAGTTGTTTCTCAATTGAAATGCCAAAAGCAACAAGGAGGGGATCATCATCATCACGGTAGTTTCCCATAGCCTGCCAAACTGAGTGATCAGTAAAATACAATATTACAAACTACAAGAGCAACCATTTGGGTGGAAGAAGATTTATATCAGTTAAAACTCTTATTCTCTCCTGAGGCTTTTGCCTACGCTTTTCAACTAAAGATGCTCTCTGCACTGAAGATAATGCCTTTGTATAAAGTTGAACAGACAAAAGAGAACAGAGCTGGAATATAGGAAAGAAAACAACATCAGCATCTGTTCTAGAGAAGGACACTGAGGAATTATACATAAAGAAAATTGGGCCAACCCAGAAATTCTAGTGAGAGAATTATGCACACCTCCAGCGGCAGATAGTTTGGCTGTTTCGGTTTACCAACATCAAGGCAATGCATATATGCAGAATAAGTAAGTTCAATATTCCGATGTTTGGAAAAATACTTGTATACCGTAATCTCCGTAGTCTGTCCTCCATCATAGGCACCATCACTGTTTTTCACTTTCAGTGGAAAACTTGGGAGGGAAAAGTGAAACAAATAAATGATTCAGACGACATACAATGAAAATTAGAAATTCTATGGAATAAAAAAGCACTTACAACAGCTGCTTGCAAGGCTTGTCACTCAAACCTATGATCTTGAACTCCTTGTTGTGTCTTGTCTTAATTCTTATGTTTTTTAGCATTCTTTTGGCCTGTACATGACACAAAATATTTAACTATATACATGAACTAAGAACAAAAATGAGATCCACTGTGCAATTAAACAGTTAGTTTACCTTTGCCCAGTCAATGTAACAATGTTCACGTTCGTTCTGGTTAGCTAGCAGAAAATCAATAACAGATCCAGGCGTCAGGATCATACTTGTAGATACATCTGCCCAAAGAAATCAAAGCTACATTAATGGCCAGAAAGTGAAAGCAAAATCACATTGGCGCAGTGAGATGGAGAACAAAAAAAATGATGATTATACAAACCACCATGAGTTGAACGAAAGCTGGAACGGAAGCCCCAACACCCAGTGAACACCTCCTCCAACATCAGTGAAGTTCCTTAAGTCATCATGAAAGAATGACTGTCTTACCAAAAGAAAACCCCTGCATTCAATATCCAAATTACATAATATGTAAGTAAGCAACATTGAAGAAACTAGAAACCTCAAAAGAAACCTTGAAAGGAGAAAATTCCAAGTACCAATTAGTTGCTTGCTGTCTTAATATAACATCAAGCACCCTTAGTGCACTTGAACATTGTCCGGATCAGCTCCTTGGAGGGAAAGAGAAATGGATTACAAAGGTATTTTAGAAGCAAAGCTGATCTCGACTTTAAAAGTTTTTTATTGTAAAGAATGCTTTGACCTTTTACCAGACTCACTGGGGCTCCCATTGTGAGGAGGACTCCCACTACCACCAAGGAAGAATATACTAAGTCTTGAAAAATATGCAACACACTTAAGTACTTGAAAAATATAAAGAAAGGACATACTGCTTTGCAAAAGATTCCTGAAGAACCACCATGACCTCAAAATTGTTCTCTGGAAGAGGCCCTAATGTATACAGATTCTTATCTTCATCATATGCAAATCTATTCCCAACATATTTGTTTCTACATATTTCACCTTCTGAAGTTTCCTTTTTTGCTAGCATTTTATTCCACATAAGCCGAGGCATTGTCTACTCAATCCTTTAAACGAAACGAAAGGCTAAACACCGCCAGTTATTCGATGGGCCAGTCTGGATTTCCAATTACAATGGCCTGTGATTTTGTATGGAAACACATTCTATTTCGATGACCATATTTGAACAATTTTTAGCATCATGATCATGATTTACATGGAATTTTGTCTAGAGTTTAATGACTAAAATAAAAAAAAATAATAAAAAACAGCTACAAAAATTGATATCCCTTAATACTTCACGTGTTTAAGTTCCATGAATGAATTCACCAAACTTCCAATCTTTTACCGCTATATGCGTACCTATGAAGCACGGATACGGATACCGGTACGATACGATACGGTGATACGACAAAGTTTAAAAAAGTAGGATACGGGTACGGCTATAATAAAATATTTTTATTATTTTTTACCAGCTTAATACTTATATATTTTGGTAGTTCTTTAATATACAATAAGAAAAATTAGTAATTTTTTTAAGTTGCAAAAAAATATATATCGTATCGCTGTAGTATATTCACAAAGTGAAGTGACCAACTAAAGGAATCAAAACTAATATTTACCTAGTATTTAGAAGTAATTTTTGCTAAGATAATAATATAATAACTTTATTTTATGCTATTTTGAAGTAATATAAATTTTTTGTTAATGTATTGTATGATATGTGAATTCGAAAAGAGATGTTAAAAGTTCAACTTAAAAATTATATATGTTGCTCGACCACAAAAGTATCTGTGAAGTATTCTAATATTTAATTATTATCGGATACGTAGAAGGTGTATCCGATACGTATCCTCAAATATCTGACGAATATCGTATCCGATACGGTATCGGATACGGGTAAGTCAACCTCAACAAAGTATCCGTGCTTCATAGATGCGTACCAATCAAGACTGAAGTTTTTTATTTTCAAAAATCTATCAAGATGAAGTTGCAGAAATGACGGCATGAAATGAATGCAGTTAGAAGCAAAGTACCATTTTTTGGGAGGATGGATTGCTGTTGAGGGTCTTCCATTCCATTTAAGGCACTGAAACGACGGCATGAAACGAATTCAGTTAGAAGCAAAGTTTCATTTTTGGGAGGATGGATTGCTGTTGAGGGTCTTCCATTCCATTTGAGGCACTGTGAGATTTTTAAGAGGATTGGTGATTGCTGTAAGGGGTTTATTGAGGCTGATTTATCCTGAATAATTCCACAGCTCAGTGTATCAAATACAAGATTTGTAAGGCCAGAATCAATGTGAGACTGCAATGTCTACAGGATGTAAACAGGTCTATGCATGAATTGTAAATTTTATCAAAAGTTCTGCATGGAATTAGTATCTTCATTCACAGGTGCCTATCCCTCGCACTATCTTATTTCAACACACTCTCACTCTCTCTCTCCCTCTCCAAACACCCCCCCCCCCCAAAAAAAAAAAAAAAACAAAAACAAAAAAACTAATGCAATCTGTTCGCCGCTCCAAAAGACCTTTAGCAAACAATAAGTCCAAAATGGATATGCAAGCGCATTGCACACGAAAACACCAAAAGCACAGGCGCACAAAAACACACTATTACATACATACGTGCACACACACACACGCACTAACACACCATCATTGAAACACACGTGCACATGTGCCCACATACACACTAACACACCCTCACCAAACACACACAAACACATGAAAAAAAAAATACGTACTAATACACCAAAATACATCCACACCAACGCATAAAACAATAAGTCCAAAATGGATATGCAAGCACATCGCACACTAAAACACCAAAAGCAGATGAGCGCACACACACAAAAACACACTATTAAATACATACGTGCACACACACACACATGCACCAACACACCATCATTGAAAGACACAACATGTGCACATGTGCCCACTTACGCACTAACACACCCTCACCAAACACATGCACACACTGTTAACACACAAATACATGAAAAAAATACACGCACTAATACACCAAAATACATCCACACCAACACACACTTTATTAACAAACACTAATATACCAAAAAACACATAACACAACAAAAAATACAAACACATACACACTAATACACAATCCCAAAACACATTTCTAATATACCATCCAAAAGACACTAATACTCCAAAAACAAAAACACAGATTAATACACCTAAACACACAAACCAATACACTAAAATACAAACACACAATATGTTAACATAACTAACGCACCAAAAAGATAGACACTAACATAGCAAAACACATTATTACCCAAACACAAATGCACACAGATACTAATATATAACAAAATACACACTAATATACCAAAACACACACGAATACACCTTAACATACACACCGACACACTGTGTTAACACTCAAAAATACACCAAAAAATAAACAAAATAAAACACACACAGTTATACAAACACAAACGAACGCACAAAAACATGCACTAACACATACACCAAAAAAACACACTAAAAAAAGGACATGCGCACACTCTATTCACACACACATACACGCACACTAATACACCAAAAAACACAAACCAACACAAAAACACCAAAGAAAAACAAACACATTATTACACAAGACACACAAACTAATCATGTTCAAAATTAGAGTTTATTAAATTCTACGGGATAGATCACAAATCAAAGTCTCACATCACAAGGCACAAGACCCAATGCTTTGATGAGTGCTTGTATTAACATTTGTGTTCTGGTGTATTAGTATGTATATTTTTTATGTATGAGTATGTGTACATGTGCTTATATATACTATGACGTGTCAATGTGACTGTGTTAACAATATCGTGTAAACATTACATGCTTGTGTTTGTGTATTAGGTATCTTAACATTGCATGATTGAGGTATGTTTGCTTGTGTTATGCCCAAGTCGTGCCTATGCTTTGCATGGATCATGTTGTGTCCCATGTCTAGGTCATGCTTTGTTCATGCTTTATGCTATATCTTTTGTTAAGTGAAATTTGAAAAATGGATATCTTATACCAACTTATTCCCTTGTAGATCATAATTTGCAACTCTAATCTCCCCATAACGAAAGGCTGAGTTTTCTCAAAACTCTTTTACCTTCTCACAGTAGAATTTGGACAATTATGTTATACATTACATCCACATGAAACATTCAATTCATCCAAACAAATTATATTTAACAATCATATTGTAATTCAAACATCCTTCCAACCAATTTAGATAACTAGCCCAACAGCCTTCTCTAGTTGTACTACTTTTTCTGATGAATAACCTAAAATTGAAGAAAACAAAGATCATAAAAGCATGAGCATCGACTCATTTATACGCATATCATGAATTAATTATCTATATATATCAACGTAATGCTATATTTTCAAAAAACAAGGAATCTAATGTGAAATAGTACTCATGTACTCGGTAACAGTCAATATGCAATGCTCAGTTAACAATTAATCAGCGATTGCCTTCTCCCATGAGAAGGTTAGATCGAGGTATATTATGAATACCCAA